ACTTGATTTGAAGGTCCTATTTCAGTGGTTAAATTTCTTCTACGGTAACGTTGTATGTACACAAACTCTTCCAGCTAAGAGGAAATGTAGCGCCACAGTTTTTTAGTATGTAGGTGTCTCCTCTGCTTCTTTCCGCAATCTGTATTTGCCGTGTTGTGTTATGCTAATCTTCCTCAGATGCCCATTTAGTCTGCAGTGTCCTATTAAGAATAGTAGTATTCTGTTTTTTTTTTCTTCCAAATTGTGCTAGAAGGTTGTTGCTTCTTTCGAATTCCATTGCTTCCTCATCTTCGTTTTGCATTGTTTACTATTATTTGTCTAGATGTTGGTAAGGTTTGTTATGTGAATTAGATCATCTTCAATAATCTGCTGATCTTATTCTCGCCGGTTTTTCAGAGTTGAACGCGATTTCTCATTTTGCCGTAATATCTGATTCTTTCTTTTCTTTTCGTTTTGTCAGCCGTGTCATTTTTGTATATCCTTGTGAAATGATAAAGTGATGTGGTACTGGTTTGGCCCGTCGTTGTCTTTGATGGATTATAACTGTGATTTTTGATTGTTCAGGTCGATATTGTTCGAGTTTCAAGTTTGATTTTTGATTTATGCCGTTTTTAATGAGATAAATTTCTTTCCTCTTTAATGTGTCTCATATCTAAGTGTTTGAGAGGTTTAGAAACATTGATTTTATGTGAATTGTGATTTCAAGTCGTTTTTTCTGATATGTGTCCTGTTGTTAGATTTCCACTACATTGTCCTTGAACGGTCTTAAATGTCACTTTTATTTCAGCCTCCTGTCCACAATATTTCTACCAACAATCTTACGTTATTGAACGAACCGGGTCCTTCAAGTGGGTTACACTATCAATCCTATCTTAGAGCTTTTCGTGTATTATTTGTAGCAAACAGGTTACTCTCTCAATCGATCCAACACTTAATACATTTATTATTGTGTCTATAGATTTTGTTAGAAAAACAATAGTATACGTATAGTGTTGACAAATGTTTTGTTTAAATTTATGAAGTAAGAAATAAAAATGACGTTCCTCACAAGAACAATAATCCCAATAATATTACAAAACGAAACTAAAATATAGATGTATTGGCTGAACATATAGATAAAACAATAAACCATAAAAAATATTAATAATCATTAAGGGGCCGCAACGGTTTAGGCGTTGACCGGGCGTTCAGCGCTGTAAGGTAAAGGTCCCGGGTTCGAATCCAGCAGCCTTGCATTCGAAGCTTAGAAATACTTACACATTACTTTACAAACCTCTGCTGTTACGAACCCTCGTAAAAAAACATTAACCATATATTAATTGCACTTAAACTATTAGTAACTTTCTGGTATCAGTATTATATAGTTGATTTTAGTAACAGTACTTCTTAGGAATTCAGCTTTTCTCGTAAGCACCGACTCTCTGAGCGCGTTTGGGTTTTATATGACGGGTTCTCTGTGAACCATCTCTACGTGTTTCTAACAAGAGTTAGAAAGATATGCCGAACTGCCTGAAGGATATGGAAATTTCAGATGCAGCGGCGAAAGCCGGAACATCCCACTTTCCCGACCGGACCATCGCGATCATGCCCTCTGACGGTAAGCGGGCCGTAAAAACGTCCGTAAAGGGGAGATTAAAGCGTCAGTGGGTAGGGTCGTCCGAGAAGCTCTTCCGTGTTTAGAGCACGACCTGCAGTTGGTCCTCCAAGGGTCCGAACCAGAAACAATGAATAGTTTTAAATAGTAGAAGTATCGACCACTTTTTCACTTACGAGCACTCTAGATCGAGGGATGGTCTTGAAAAAGAAAGCAAATTTAGTTGCTACGGCCCAGGGGTAGAGCTAGGGCACGACCATATCTTGATCCACAGTGCTTACAGGGAATAGTTCTTGCCAGAGAGTAGATCATACGTCGCTGACACTTGCTCGTGGCGCTAATGACCTCTATGCACAGAAAGGATGCTCGATGTGACCCACATAAATGAAGCTTGTCATACCTTTGCTCCCTTCAGGGTGAGCCTGGGCATGCTGCCTGATTTAAAAGGGGTGTGGAGCACAATAGCGAGTTTCCCCTGTTCCGCTTTTTACGAAAATTGGGGATTTTTTATTATATATAGCCGCCAAATTATGTGTTTTGTAGTTCTAGCTTTTGTATAAGTGAGTGTATTTATTAGTGTGACTGAGGAGGGACTGATGGTGAAATAGCATCTCATCGCCTCAGCATCTGTGTGAGTGACCTGGGTCGAATGCGGAATATTTATAAAAATACCCAATTAGAGCGCAATATAGGTAGGTGTGAATGTATTGATTGTCGGATGCACCTAGAATAATAATAATAATAAAAAGTAACAGTAATTTATTTATTTAGCAATCCAGCGAAAAACATGTCTACCTAATCCAGAGGTTTTAAGATCTACCTACAAAACATCTGTGTGTAGAATTATCTTTTCCAAATAAGGAATCTTCTTTCTCTTAGGAGACAAGATTTGAAGGAACTTTAAGATCAATGTACCGACCACTGCCCTCTCAACTACAAAATAAAATAGATAGGCAAAGAATAGACGGAACATGCCAATTCTATTAAGACAAACCAGAGATATCTACATATATCATTTGTGTATGTGCGGCAGTAACAGGTATAATGTACAGCCATTCGGGTAAGCTAAGTTTCACATCACGAGGAATGCGATGATGCACCGAGGAAAATGCTTAATTTATTGGGAAGAACGGACTTTCCACGGTATGATCGTAAATCGCAGGGATTCCACAATAAATCTATTTAGGCCTACCAATAATCACTGCGTCCACGATTTCGTCTTTCTTTTTCGAGTTAATTGAAAACTTTTAGAATTTCTATTCTCATATTTTACCATGACATTAGGTGATTGTCGCTTATATTATAAGATGTACTTACCGACATCAACCACTTAGTTCAGAATTACGTCATTTCAAATGTCGGCAGTTTTCACCAAATTTTTAGCAAAAGTGGTCGCATAGCAATTCCTGGCAATCCGAGGCAAGTTAGGAAACAAATTCATTAACTGCAGCGATTGTACTTTAGTAATAAAATCTATTTGTCACAAATCCCATTGGTCGAAAAAATATAAATGTTAGTAAACATCGTGCCAAAAAGGCCGCATAGCGGGAAATCTAAAATAGTAGAAATAGACGATCTGGCATTCATTGCTAAGCGGGTGCCGGAACAAAACAAAGGTTATAAAAAAATAAATCGACTGTGAAATTGCACGTCATACTAGAGACTCTTTATTAAAACTCTTATTATAAACAAGTACTTTAAAATTGAGATACCGTTATGAAATTGGTGTTTTGAACAAAAATTGTTTCTATGGGTTACGTTTCCGTTATATTTTAGCTCTGTACAAAACGTTACGTAATGTAAAACAGCTTTGTGGATGGTTTCAACGTGGAAAACAACTCGGTTACTCAACGTACAAAATATGTTACTCGTAAAAGAGAGAAGTACGTCCGAAAGGCGTGAATTTTCCATCCAGAGTCTTAGGCCTCCATCTTAGGCCTAGCTAGCGTTCGGGCCTAAGCTCTCGTTCCCAACATAATTGAAACCAAACGTCTGAACTGAGTTTGCCATATGATCTACTGATGGTCGTTTTTAATCATCGCATAATAAAAGTATCAATGGATTTGATTGATACTCTCAAAATTGATATTTAAATAATAAACCGAATTTGGGGACATCGGTGGCCGCAACGGTTTAGGCGTTGATACGGCGCTCATCACTGTAAGGTAAAGGTCCGCGGTTCGAATCCAGAGGCCCTGCATTCGAACCCGACATACTTATAATTTGGCTTTTTTTCAAAAACACCCTGAGGGTTTATAAGATCTCTGCTGCTGCTAACCCTCGTAAAAAAATAAATAAAAATAAACCTAATTTAGGTTATATACAATTTCTCATTTATTGACAAATTTTAAATTATTATCTGTCGTCGTTTGAGGCGAATATAGCTTTAAGACATTTGTACCACCAGCGATGTTAAATAAAATAAGATATATTTTATGCTTACTCGAGAAAAAAATATTTACTGTTTTGGAAAAATAAGGGTCTTTTCCGGGAAGATATCTTCTATGGTTGCGACAGTCGTTTGTTGAAATTAGGAAAAACAATCAAGAAGGGTAACGACGGCTAAGTTCAAACTTTATTTAAAAATTCATCCAAGGCATTTCTAGAGATAGAATTATAGTGCTAACCGTATCACGGGTAAAAGCATTTTCCTGACTTGCAGAAAGTTAGAAAGTTGAGCATGTTGGTGGCTTTTATGCTTGAATAGTCGACTTTTGCCAGAACCATTAAATAAAAAAAAAGTGAGACATCCTTTTTGTTCAAAGTTTTGAGGGTAAGATTACATTTCACTATTGATAAGTGAGTCTACATACTTTTATCAAAAATACACGTGTTATATTTAAAAAAAAAACTTATTTATTTAAAAATGCCAGATTTTTATTTCTTTATCTATCCATGTTTACAAAAATAAAACAACAAATTAAATTTTTTCTGGACATTTTATTTATTTTTTAATGGATCAGCAGTTTAAAAAAAAAATAAACGGTCAAATTAGTATTTACCATATGATATTTTAAAAAGTATAAAAAATATAAACAGAAAGCTTTCGGTAATCAGCTGTAAGTAAAATTCTATTTGCTCACATGTTTTCTGCCAACTGGACGAAGTCGAAAACGATTTATCAACGTAAAATGTTCTTTTAATTTTCCAACATTATTATTATCAAACTTGAATCAATTAAAATAAATGATTTATTTTATGAATTTGTCTATTTTTTTATTTAGTTCAAATTCAAAACCAGTGAAAATACAAAATACAAAAAAATCACGATTATACTGAATAAATTTGATTCATCATACAAAAAAATTCTGCTTACTTAATTTGAAATTTGAACTAATTTTTCCTTTTTAGCTCATTAAAATTGAACAAATTTTATACATATTTTAAAATATCAATTTACTTTAGAAGTTGTTTCTTTTTTTAATTACCCTAACCGCCTAGTCTTCCGATTCCGTTTAGTTTATTACCGGCCGTCGCATCGTGCGCACATCATTTTATTTCCAGTCATCAGTTTCATTTTCCAGGAGTATTAAACTAGGTAAGAACAGTTTAAAACTCTTTGTAAAAATATTTTCTCATTAATAACAGTACGTCAAGCTATTCTAGGCCAATCATAACCAAAAAAATCGATCACACGTTGTTTTAAATACTTAATTATTATGAATGATTACTTGAATGAAAAAATCTCTTGTTCGTTATTAAATATTTTACATCAATTCATGTTTAGCAGTCACGAGCGTGATTCGAACCCACGACATTCCGCTCATTACGCTGCTGATCTAACCACTTGAGCTATCGTGACTTCGTATTTACACTTTTATGGTTACAATAAAAAAATAAGCCTACATATTTTATATGAATTTTAATTAATACTAGTAGTAAATAATTTAATTATTAATAAACAAACATTTAAAAGTAATTTATGCGTAAATGTTTTGAGTTAAGCCATAAAATTTGAATTTGTAATTGGACATATTTTTTTTTGTATCAACTCTTGGTCTTTGTCTTTAATATTCATAAAGTACCGGTTCTTTCAAAAATATTTTTATATATTTTACTAGTGGATTTGTTGGTTATGCCTATTTCTACTTGCGATTTTCAAACGATGTCGTAAGATTGTGTGTTAGGCCTAATTAGAGCTCAGGGTTATGGAACTAAAATTAACGTTTTTTTAAATATAAAATACAGTCTATATTTTCCATTTTTAATAACCTTTTTGTTTTCCTTATCTTTATTGAATTGATTGTTAATTTACTGACCGAAGTTATAGTACTACTGGTATTTTTCCGTAATAAAGTATTTTATTCAAGTTAGTTTAATAATTTTTTTTTTATTAAGTGTTTATCATTGGCATTACGCATATAGAAACACTTTTTGTAGAGTAATCAGTATCAGCCCAAGTTGAGCCGTGACAACACAGCTGACAGACGCGTGGCGCTGTGACAACGGCACAGATTACGAGCCGTGATGTATTTTGTATTATGGGATATCTTTCTCATGATAGACGTTCATTCTACCTATTTTTTTACTTTAGAATACGGGTCTGGAATTCGTAATATCCAAAAGTTTAAATATTTACGATCCGAAATATAGTAACAAATGACATTAATACTATACGCGAGAGGAAAAAAAAATGAAAGGATTTTCAGCAGTCGGAATCATATACCACCCTATTTCCTTCAGTTTGATTATAGAATTATTCATATTTTTGCGTATAATCAATTTAAAAAATCAAATTATAAATTATAACCTTACATTTTCATAAACTGATCGGATTTAAAAATAAATAAACAGATGACTACTGTTTTACAATTCGTCCATCACAGCGCTACGTACGCGTGACACGTCATGATGTACGTTCTCGTCTTGTCTCGCGCCTCAATATACGCCTTGTCCATTCGCCTTGGGTCACTGGTTGGAATGTCACGGGATTTGAATTTGAACTCACAGTACTTACAAATAAATTTCTTTAAAAAATAAATAAATAGATAAAATAAATTTTAAAAAATACTGGTGGTCGATTTATGACCGCATAACATTTTAGTTTAGTTCCATTACAGTTCGTGGTCCGATTGACAAAACATTTTTCAATTAATTAATATTTATGAAAGGTATTGGTCGAGATAAAAATCAAATCATTTGTCGCCGAGAATCAAATAGTATACACGGCATTTGAAAAATTGAGTTGGGGTTGAGGTGGGAAGTTAGTGCCCGAGCGGAGCGAAGTCACGATAGCTTAAGTGGTAGAGCAGCGGCGTATTTTAGCCGAAGATCGTGGGTTCGAATCCCGCTCGTGACACTGACTTTTTTATCTCGACCAATACCTTCCATACATATTAATTTTAGTTTAGGCTAAACCTGGACATACTAGACCGAAAATTTATAATTTACAAGATTGAATGAAATTACGATTTTAATATTCCCGAACTAGAAGTTTTGCCTTTTGTTAAAAATTTACTTAAATAGTGAATATTTTAGTTGTTTATTTGTATATTTTGAAACTTAAACATTATGTATATTAATTTTAACCCAATGTAATTAAAATTTTCTCGCCTACAACGCACTAATAATGTTAATATTATTTATATTAAGGCTTAATTGTGGATAAATGCTTACTGAAACGTATATTAGAATTGGGAGAGGGTCAATACATGGACATTGATTCCCTGATCATCCTGATTGGCTTAATCGCGTTGCCTATTACTCCCTGGTAGGCTGGTAATAGCTAAAAATATGTTAAATAAATCAATAACCGGCCAAAACAATTAGCTAAAGAAAGAAACATATTTTGGACACAATACTAACCTTTGGCTAGTACCTAGATAGTAGGTAAAGACTGAGAAAACACAGATATTTACTTTTTAACACTTTCAGAAACAAACAATGTTTTCATTAATAGTGGTATTGTAAAATGTTAACTCGTGTTAACTCGAATAGAGAAATGTCCAGTTAGATCGTGAATGTCTCCTTCGTGTTAAACGTCAATTTTTCCGATATGCTGCGCGTGGCGATTGGTAGAACCAAAAATAAAGCTATAACAGTTTTAGAAGACTTACTGTTTTTTGTTTTCGTTTTCCTTTGTGATAAATTGCAAGATGCCAGAAGTTAATGAAAATTGAAAATTAATCAACTCTTTCATTCATAATGCTAAGTAAAGCACACAAGCAAAAGTACTAACAAATGACACGCTTCAAATCGTGCCGACGTACCTAATTTGTATCCTAACGTCTAACTTTATAGGATAAGGGATGTGTCTATTACCAATTAGAGCATAAAGACTGGTCAGAAATTAACAAACGAAATGTATTAATCTGATTTAATTAATGCTTATTTAAGAAGAAAAATACGTGTAAACAAATACAGCTGTTAAATTCATGGCTGCCATGTTGGTTACCTACGCCCTAACGGATAACGATGTGACTACATTTTCGACCTAACATCTAACATTGGCTCTGGCCTGTTAGATTGGCCTAACATTGTTTAACTGGCCGATTCTTAGAAGTCTACGACATCATTTTTCTCGATCTAACAGGACCTAATAGAGTTAACAGGGTTAAAAGATCCCCTAATATGACTTTCACCGATGATCGAATTTCCTAGTATTTGTAGTGTTCTTGAATAAGCCAAAATTCATTTTTTTAATATGGTTATAATTGATACTACAAACCGTATTTAGGCGTAAGTGTTTCCGAGGTTCCTTTTTTGATTAGTATCTCTGCTGTTTTGTTGCCTGAAATTCTTAGTTCCCATAAACAAAACGCTATTTAAACGTCTAAATTTTTTAAGGCATTCTGGCTGTTCAAGGTTAGTTTTTACCTAATCTCATAAACTTGAGAGCTTTTTTTTACATTTCTATGGCTTGCAATTCGACTTCAAATATGGCTGCAGTGAGGGCGAGGACAATGTTGAACTCATAGTTCATGTATCTAATACGAATTAGAGTATAAGGACTGGTCAGAAACTAACAAAAGAAACGTATTAATCTGATTTAATTAATGCTTATTTAAGAAGAAAAATAAGTGTAAACAAAAAACAGCTGTTCAATTCATGGCAGCCATGTTGGTTACTTACGCCCTAACGGATAGCAATGTGACTACTTTTTCGACCTAACATCTAATGTTGCACTTCGTGCCCATTCTCTGTCTTTAATCTCTGTATGCCATAGAAAAGCACTAAGTTTATATTTTGTTTTATTTATGAATTTTTCACTCCTTTCAAAATTTTTCAATGTTGAATTATTATGTGATGATTAGTGACCGTTAATCGATATTTATTGAGAAATCGTGAGATGCGGTCTGGTGTGATGTAGGTTTCAGAAAACATTTCCTTTATCGTGCCAACGTTTCGATCTTTATTGAGATCATCTTCAGGGCTCAAAGTGTTTGATTCACTCTCGACACGACACGCAAGAATGGCACAATTACACAGAATACAAACACTTTCTGCCCTGAAGATGATCTCAATAAATATCGAAACGTTGGCACGATAAAGAAAATGTTTTTCTGAAACGTACATCACACCAGACCGCATCTCACGATTTCTCAATAAATGTTGAATTATTATTTAAATTCCAGTATTTTCTCTTTAGTCAAAAAGTGTTTTAGCGAAAATCGATTTGGTTAATTTGTATAAATTAATAAACGTTTATAATACGAGTTTCTAATTTTCTATTTTTGTTTTAGAAATCACATAAAATGGAAAGCGGGAAGGAAAAAGAACTTGCATCGGAAGAGACCATTTTCGGCTACACGCCTGAGCCATTTTTCGACAATCAGTTCGTACATCCTGCGGAAGAGGGCAGCCATTCGCCAGAGCAGAAGGAAGAGAATGGGAAGTCGGAATGCGACGACATATTTCAAAGGCTGAAACGGAGGATCGAGCTGGCCCAGCGGAAACCCGAGGTTCCCGAGACCATCACGATAGACGACAGCGACGAAGACAGTACCTGCCCAGTTTGGAAACCCGGACAGTACCTGAATAAAATCCGCCAGAGAGAAATAATCAGCAGAATGAAGTTGTCAATGATGAACCGTTCTTTCGAAACAAACGTGAAAATGTTAAAGAAAAAGATTCTTTCTGCAGTGAAGTCCGGGCCTAAACCGGGAAACGTAAATTGTCAACTTATAAAACTACCAAACGGGAAAATAATTAAATTCCGAGTGCATCCAAAACAATAATGAAAATTGAGAGACTAAGTAGTTTTAAATTCAGGAATTTTAACCATTTTAATAAACAAAACTGGTTATATAGTGGATTTTGTTTGATGAAACTATACATATTATATTAATATGATTACATTTTGTACAAATAACCATAAAAAAAGAAAGTTTAAATATAAATGCTTAATATTTTTATGAACATTTATTATTATTCTTACCATATAATTATTATTTTACTCGTATTATTTTTTATTTCACTAGTTTCGTGGTCCTCTTGACCAATTAATATCTTTCAATTAATTAAAGTTTTTAGTTGAGATAAAAAAAGTCTGTGTCACTAGCGGGATTCGAACCCACGACCTTTGGCTGGATACGCAGCTACTCAACCACTTGAGCTGTCGTGACGTCGATCCACTAGAACAATGGCGAAAAGGAGGGAAAATTCAAAAAGTGGCGTTAATATGGGAGGTTAGGTCCGAGTGGATCGAAGTCACCATAGCTCAAGTGGTAGAACAGCGTCGTATCTAGCCGAAGATCATGAGTTCGAATCCCGCTCGTGACACTGACTTTTTTAACTCAACTAAAAACCTTAATTAATTGAAAACTATTTTTAATGTGCAATCGCATGTTTTACAATCAATGTAATGGTATACTTTTTATTATTACTTATTATGAATTAAATTTGTATTTTCTTTAGATTTCCATTATAGTTTTTTTGTAAACCAACGCACCCAAAATAAGGTTCTGATCATTTATTCATTATTTAAATACTGAGGTCAATGATCTTTTTTTATGTACAAGTTAATTTTGCAACAAATTGGAACCGTGTATCATATATGTTAACGTGGTTTAGTATCAACAAGTGTCACCAGTTTGTCAACACGAGTTAATAAAATCATGGGCATTCGGTGTTGGTCGTTCGATGAAAAATCACCCTTCTGAATTTAGCCGTTTGTGAGATTTTAAGAGATAATCTTTGACGTTGATGGCATTTTTAGACTTAATAGAAAAAATGTTGCGATTCTCTTTTGAACTGATTTGAAATGAAATTTGATATTAAATGAACAGGATTTGAGTTTGAGAAATAAATATTTCCAATAAAAGGAGGATGAGGCTGGGATTTTATTAAAAATTCGTTGTTATACAAGGCCGAAAATTATCTTGACCTTCCTAAGTAGGAACATAGAAAAAAAAAAACTTCTCTATTTCGGCAAAATCTGTAAAAAAAATTCATTTTTTTATTCAGATGAAGATTATTTGACAATAGATGGTGATTAGTGACCGTTAATCGATAATTATTTAGAAATCGTGAGATGCGGTCTGGTGTGATGTAGGTTTCAGAAAAATATTTTCTTTATCGTGCAAACGTTTCGATCTTTATTGAGATCATCTTCAGAGCCTGACATTTATAAACATTGTTTAAATTTAACAAATACATGTAGGATGTGGAAAAAAAGTGAATTTATACACAATGTAAAAAATATTTTTTTTATTCGATCAATGTATTTCTAATCACCCATAGTGTAGTGAGTAGAGATATTTTGATAGAATATAAAAAAATATTTTTTGGAGTGTGTAACTTCATTTTTTTTTCCCACATCGATTTTCGTATAATTAAAAGTACTAGTATCTTCTTGTTTTTATCTAGGATGGATTTATGTAAGGTATTGGTTCAAATGTGTGGTGATTAGTGACCGTTAATCGTTAATTATTCAGAAATCGTGACATGCGGTCTGGTGTGATGTAGGTTTCAGAAAAAAAATTTTTTTTATCGTGCATACGTTTCCATTTTTATTGAGGTCATCTTCAGGGCTCAAAGTGTTTGTTTACTAATTGTGCCAACACGTCAAGCGAGAATGGCACAATTACACAGAAGACAAAAACTTCGAGCCCAGAAGATGATCTCAATAAAGATCGAAACGTTGGCACGATAAAGAAAATGTTTTTCTGAAACCTACATCACACCAGACCGCATCTCACGATTTCTGAATAATTATTATTTGAAAAAATATATTTTCTTTTATATTTATATTTTGTTTTATTTTATATATTTATACAATGCAAAATGAATATATAAAATATATTTTGCATTGTATAAATTCACTTTTCCACATCCAAAATGTAATTGTAATATGTAAACAATGTTTGTAAATCCCAAGCCCTGAAGATGATCTCAATAAAGATCGAAACGTTGGCACGATAAAGAAAATGTTTTTCTGAAACCTACATCACACCAGACCGCATCTCACGATTTCTGAATAATTATTATTTGAAAAAATATATTTTCTTTTGTTTGTATGTTTTGTTCGTCCGCCCAACAGTCAACATGATTAGAATAAGTCACGACTTTTATCTTCAAAGGTTAGCGATTCACAAAGGTACTGAGATCTTTAAGCTGCGAATTTTGTCTTCTTCCTATGGAACTTTTTCTGTCCACTTTTCTTTCCATGATTTTTAGAAGAATCCGCAATTTTTATAGCAAATATGACTGTTTTACTTTATATTATAACTCCTCTTGTGCTGCTTAGTATATAGGGAAAATGAAAATGTTTATAAGCGTGAATGAGTGGAAAGGTTGCGCAATGTATCACACATGCACCTCCTTGGCTCTATGTAACGTGTAGGAATGCCTGTTACGATTTTTTGAGGAAATAAGTTTGTTTTAAATTATATAGTACTGATAGCTTTGTGTAATCAGCTTTTGTTTATAATGAATGTATTTATTAGCGTGAATGTGTGGTGTACGCGGGTCGATGGCAGAATATCGAGTACCCCGTTGACCGTTGATTAGGTTAGTTATATCATATGTGTAGAGGGTGATGGAAGAATATCAAGTACTAAGCCATAACTGAATAGATGCTATGTAAATAGGAAAGAAATCATGAAAGAGTGTGAGATGGGTTTGGATTTTAAGAATGATTTCGTTTTGGGCTGGAACGACCTAGTTATAGATAGCCCCGGAGTCGAACATGTATTTGCAAGCGTGAATGTGAAATGTGAAGGTATGTATCTCACCAGCAACTCCTTGGCTCTGTATAGACAGCGTGTATGCGTTGTTGGACGGATCAGACTAAGGTATGATTCACCAGGCCCGCCTTTATTTTATTAAAAATTACACCAAAACTGGGGACGTAACTATTGCTACTAGACGTGATGTGCTCAACTCATTTAGCTTATATAACTAGTATATTTTGAGCTTATTATAAACTAAATTAACAGCGGCATGTGTACAATACAAAAAATTGATACTTTCAGCAATAGATTTTTTTAAAAAATTTTGACTGTATTTTAAATATAATTCGAAAATATCGATCCTTTCTGCTTTCCGTGTGCCAATCGCTTTAGTTGTGTTTAAATGAAAGGAAAAATAAATTTAGCTTTAAAATAATTATCAAAGGTATGCAAAACATAGGTGAGAACAGAGGAGGCAGGTCGGGAAGAAAGAGGCCAGTCCGTTGTAATGAGGACACTGTTGTGTGACTTCGTCCTGCATTAATTCAGCAGGCGGAACTGTCAACATGGGCCAAAGCAATTTCCATACAATTATGCGACGGGACACACAAACTTGTAAATTTTGTCCAGGGGCAAGGTGGGAAAAATTTCCGACCTGGCCCTCTCGAATAACGCGCTGCCTTGACTTACATACGGCGGCCGGATTCCGTATGCATGAGGTCCAAATGGAAATGCTACGGCTTTAATTCGTAGTGTGAAAAAGTTTAGAAAAATTTTTCCCATTTCGATTTATGAAAAGCGTAATTTAAATAAGGAAATGTAGAAAGAAGTACGTACCCCTGAAATGTTTACATTTTCAAACTATGTACTCTCAAAGGTTCTTCATATTTACGCATTCTTATGTATTTCAATTATTGTCTAGGTATGCTGTGTGTTGAGCCTGTTGCTTGGCCATCTCTGATTTAATTCAATAGTTTCTTATTGGGTTGTCATCAGTGAGAAAAATTGTTGTCTGTGTACTTATTTAGAGGATCTATTTGTGAGACCTGCATTATCTTTATCAGTTTAAGTCAAATATTTGCCAACAGTCATTGACGTATTATCGAGCGTATACAAAAATGAGAGTTTAAAAATGATATTTTATGTTTTTTTAATACAAAACCATATAAATCATTGAGCTCTATTATATTATAACTCATAATGTGTGGTGTTTAGTGACCGTCAATTACTGATTATTTAGGGATCCGATTTGGTGAAACGTTTGCATGATTAAGAAAAAGTTTTTCTAAACCCACATCACACCAGACCGCACCTCACAATCTCTAAATAATCATAACTCATAATTCACTAGTTTTCGTGGTCCCCTAGACCAATTAATATCTTTCAATTAATTAAGGTTTTTAGTTGAGATAAAAAAGTCAGTGTCACGAGCGGGATTCGAACCCACGATTTTCGGCTAGATACGCCGCTGCTCTACCTCTTGAGCTATGGTGACCTCGACCCTCTCGGACACTAGCTTCCCATCTCAACTCCACCTTTTGAATTTTCCCTCCTTTTTTGCCATTTTTCAACTTTTTCTTATCTCAAGTAAAAACCTTAATTAATTGAAAGTTATTAATTGGTCAAGCGGACAACGAAAACTAGTGAATTTAATAACTAAAAAGCTCAAGTGGTAGAGCAGCGGCGTATCTAGCCGAAGATCGTGGTTTCGAATCGCGCTCGTGACACTGACTTTTTATCTCAATTAAAAACCCTAATTAATAACTCATGATCTTATATTCATATATCTTGCTTCATCCCATCGCCTTCACCTATCGCATTTGTAAGTGCTGAGATTGAAATAAGTATTTCATTGAAGTAAAATTAAGACAATTAGATTTTTATAGCTTGTAAATCATGTGGGTGGATTTAGATTTGTTAATTTTTTATCCAGCATTTGCGAGACGAAGACTGCATAAGCGTTAGATGGAGTTGGATGTTACGAGTAGCTAGGGGATGATCAGGATTAGATGACACGATGGCTGTCATTACGTAACCAGCATGTAATATTGTTATGGAAAACAGGAATGTCGACTGTGTATATTGCGAATAGGAAGCTCAATGTATTGTCCTAGGGGACACTCGCTATAATTAGAATA